CCCGCCCAGCGTGTGTGTTCGTTTGTAAGTTCCAGGGCTAGCCTATATGGTCGGCCAGCAAGTGATGGCCCGCCCAGATGTATAGCCGGCTCAAGGTCGTTCGGCCGGCCCATATGGTCAGTCGATCAGAAGAAGGAGACAACCCTGATGACGACGTCTTCTGTGGTGTCAGCTCCCTTCTATCAATGAGGCCTATTTCAGGCCATACATGAAGCCCCCGAGCTTTTCACTTTTAAATGTGAAGTTGCGATAAGAATGAAAAACTCATTAGTACAAAAAAAATATCACTCGTAAGCCTCTTGTTAGAATTAGACATTTAGTTGTTCTCTAGCTGGCTTTTAGTGAATAAGTTCTTCAAAAAAATAATCATTAGAAAAAAGATTTTTTGAGTATGATCAAGCTTTTCTTTTTAGATTTTTAGATAGAAAAAATTTTCCCAACTCAAGCTTGCTCCTTGCCAATCTCTCTTACCCTTATCGAAACATTACCTCTAGCGAGCCTCACCTTACGCCAAGTCTTAAGTGGTATTTCCACCGCCTTCGCTGAGACAATCGTCAAGATTCGTTAATAGGTTGATTTGTGTCGTGTCCCTTGCAGATCTTGTCACTTTGGGGTAGAGAACCACCTCCATAGCTTCTTCCGAATGGAGTTTCAAGAGGTCTTTTGGAGATTTCTTAAGGCTAAGTGAGGGGGGAGATTTTGGATTGCTCATCCCGGAGAAAAGGCTTCGATGAGAGAGAGAGTTTGGAGTATTCGTCTTGAAGGAGAGGCTTAGTGAGAGAGGGTTTTTGGAGTGCTCATCCCAGAGGAGAAGCTCTAAGAGAGAGTATGTTTGTTCGACCTAGAGGGGAGGCTTCAAATGGTCATCTCGGAGGAGAGGCATAAATAAAGAGTGAGTTTATATTTCTTCTTTTGGAATGCTCTCCCGGAAAAGAGGCTTAAGATGAAGGGAGAGAATTGTTTAACTCATGAAGAAAGAAATTTGTCCTTTTTTCTTTCTTTCTTTAATTTTTCACTATTCTTCTTTAATTATAAGCAAAGAAAATAAGAGTTGCATATCTCTTTATTATTTTCCTGTGACCTTGCTCTTGAAACATAATCTGAGTTCTTTTTTTTTATTTTGTCTGTTTCTTCTTGTCTTTTCCTCCTTTTGTCTTTTCATCTATTTACTTTATATCTTGTCATCTTTTTACTTTATGTCTTATCACATTTTATTTTTTCTTCTCGCCTTTCTTATTTTGTGTTTTTTTGTCTTTTTCCTCTTGATTTGTCACATCTTGTCTTCTTCAGCTTCCTCTTCACATCTTTTTTTTTCCTCTTTCATTTATTTTTCTTGACTTTTTTCTTTTCTTTTTAATTTGATTGCTTGTTTCTTTGTCATTTGGCTTTCTCCAAGCTGGATCTTGTTGGCGGACTCAACGCATATTTTAGAATGTTGAATCCAAATTTGCCATTTTGACCGTGCCCAAGGAATATAGCTGGATTTCAAGGGAAGGAAAAAAGGAGGGGAGGATGCCCCGTCGGGGACAAAGAAGGGTGGTCTTCGGGCTCGGCGGACCCTATTATTCCACACAAGAGATGTTACAATGTGAGAGAGATGGCGAGCAAACTCCCTAGATGAGGGGAGAGAGAGCGCCTAAGGGACCCTTTTACATGTCAAGCAGTCCTCTATTTATAGAGAAATAAAAAAAAGGGGAGTGATATTACATGTATGTCCCTGTTATAAGGGGAGTCAACAGAGGTACTCCGATCTTCTTTCTGCTCGAACTGGTCAGAACATGGATTTAGTCCGTCCATTGGCGACTTGGCGTTGAGTGGTTACTCCAAGTGATCAATTTTCTGGGGTTAGCGGACTAAGGTGGCCAGTTGGCTTCCTTCACTTTGGTCGGCCCATGGTGGTCAGGCGACTGAGGTTGTCGGCTAAGTGGGTCGATCGGTTGCGTGTAAGTGGGCAACCTATTGTGGTCAGCCCATAGTGGTCGACGCAAGTATTAGTCGGTTGGCTAGTAGTAGCTGGCCAATGGTGGCAATCGGGAGGTGGTCGCTAACTAGGATGACTGGCATAGGGTGGTCGGCTAGTTGTGACCTTCATGACGGGCACAAGTGGGCGGCTAGTTGCACTCCATATGGCCCGCCCAGTTGGGCAGTCGACAGGTGGTTGCCGGCTAGGATAACCAGTAGTGAGTGGTCGATCCAAGTGGCCAGTCAACTGTAAGTTCTATGGTCGGTCGACAAGTGATGGCCAACCGGCTGAGGGTCATGTGGCTAGCTGGCAAGCTTGGCCGGTTGGGATGGTTGACCGACTAGATGGAGGCGACACTCCGGCGACGACATCTTCGGTGGTGGCGGCCTGCTTGGCTCAACAACACCTATTTTAGGCTATGTCTTTAGATATGTAAAGGCATATGAATAATATGGTATGAATGTAAATTTTCCTAATATTTTATTATATTATATCATATTTTTCACTAACATATCAAATCCACCGCCTCAAAAATCTCATAAGTCAATTTAAATTTGTTTGCTTAAATATTTTATTACTTTATTATTTTGTTTTAAATTATGTTAGATTTAATACTTACTGATAAAGAAAGTAAAAATAAATTATGTGATCAAAATGATTTGGAGATACCAATAAGGAAATGAGTTGATGATAAATTTTACATATCGTACAACTTAGAAATGTCATAGCCTTCGTAGAACCAAAGGACCATCAAATGATTTGGAGATACCAATAAGGAAATGAGTTGATAAATTTTACATATTGTACAGCTTAGAAATCTCATAGCCTTCGTAGAACCAAAGGACCATCGTTGTCGGAGTCGCGCCAACAACCACGCACCGCCACCCATCCTCCAATTGACTGCCCACCGCCAGCTAGCCGACTACCTCCAGTCGCTCGTCCAGCTCTAACTGGCTAGCCACATTGGACCGACTAAATTACTCCAGCCGATCGACTGGCCAACCTGGCCGGTCACGTCAAGCAGGTCGACCACACTTGACGACCACCAGACGCCGATGAGCTCCAGAGACGGAAACGCTCCAAATCGACGGATTTGGTAAGAACCGAAATACCCCGTACTGTCATCCATAAATCAAGTGCATATATGTAATCTTATATTTCCCTCATTTTTACTTTTGTAAATAGAGGACCACTAGCATGTGTAAAGTAAAGCATGTGTAAAGCGCACCCAAAGGCTCTCTCTCTCTCTCTCTCTCTCTCTCAGCCCCCATGCAAATGGATCTCTTCCCTTATTTCCTCTTGTGACCTCCAAATATCTCTTTATCTCCCTCCTCACCCCTTTTTCTCTCCCTCGGTTGCCGTGTTTTATTCCTTGAGCACTTACAGGATACATTATATATTATGAAGGTCATGAAAGTAAAGATGAGATCATTGAGATTTTCGATTGTCATTATGTCTTCAAATTTTATCCAAACATTTACCTTGAATCTCATTTCAAACTTTCATTTTATATTAAATTTTAATATTGAGATTTGTTGTTTATGACTTTATGATAATAAGTTAAAATTGATAGTAGATCATATTTATGAATTATTTTTTTTATATTTATTTTATTTCTATTTTGTGATTTAGACCTCAATCAAACTTAAGGCAAGGCCTTATAGACATTTCATCTTTTAAAGCCTTATATTGTGGATTATGCAAACTCTCTCAATTATTTAATAGCTGCATAATTCATTTATAGTAAATTAACACACACGTGAATAACAAAATATAACCTAATACTTTTAGTGCAATTATTTTTATTATGCCATATACTCTAAGTAACCTTATCTTACAGAACTTATCTTCACCAATTGAGTAATTAATTGAGCGGTTTTTTGGTTTGCTCAAAATAAAATACATTGTAAATGTATTTGAAATAGTTTTGAGTTATTTGATTAACTGTAAAAGAAAAAGACCTTATATTTTTTTGTTTAGTTTGAAGTAGATTGAAAAGTATTTATTTCAAAATATATTTTTTATGCTGACAGTGGTGGTGGTGGTGGTGGTGGGGAGATAGCGGACGGTCGACGATGGGTGACAAGAGGACGATGACAGGTGGTGGGTGACGGTAGGTGAACATTGCTAGCAACCAACAACGGGCAGCGGGATGACGACAAATGGGAGGCGGCCAGTGGCGACGGGCAGTACAGGCAAGCGACAGGCGGTCAGTGGGCGAGCGGCTGGCGATTGGCTAAAAGCCGGCAGGCAGTCGATAGCAGGCAGCTTCCGGCAGATGGAGAACACGCGGTCGGATGCAGGCGACTGGCTATAGTGGGGAGGTGGTGAGCTGGTGTGGGGCGGCGACTTGCCTATATCATTTTATATGAACGATGTAATTCAAATTATGTCAAATCCGCTAAATTCTAAATTCAACCAAAATTAACTACAGTATAAACTTCAAATTTATTCATATTTTATATTGCATTTGCACTTCTTTATACCAAACACGTAATTTTCTCAAATCCATGTAAAAAAACTACAACACACCGTAAATTCACTTAACCTAATTTTCTATGTATCTAATTTATATATTTGATTGCTAAATTATCACCTGTGATAACTTAATTTTTTGAAAATTTTAAATTGGAAGAATTTCAAAAGCAATCCAAGTATATAATTGCGTTTACTGCGTATTAAATTCATCTTGTCATAAATCACTTTGCCGCAGGCTTTCTGCAGAAAGCCCACCGCATTAATGCCAAATTTCCTGCGACACTCCCGCATGCGCACCTCTGTTTCCCAATCTAAACCCACCAAATTACACCCGACCCGCCTCTCAACCATCACCATGGACTTTCACGGGCCCCACTTCAATGGGTCTCGTGACCTCACGCGTCCATCACGTGGGCCTCGTGCACAACGAACGCGATATCTCGTCACACTCAGGCTACAGTAACAAGATTCCAGCCAAATTACAGCCGTGCATTTATCCCACGCATGAATAATCAGACGGTGGAAAGAAGCGAATTTACCTGTAGTGGGCCCGGCGGTCTTCGCAGCGTCCCAAACCGGGAAAGCGTATGCGGCGTCGGGCCCGCACGTGTTAGACTCCGGCTTCACGGCTGCAAACGTGCTGGCGCCGCTGGACACGTGGCTGATGCTGTACGTGCCGATCCCACCCGGCAGCACGTGCGTCGTCCGCTGCGTGGGTCCCCTCCTCGCCTTCTCGTTCTCTGCCGTTTCAAGCGGCTGCAGGAAGTCGTGCGTCGTCTTCATCAAAAATCCTTTGAATTAAAATCAGCAAATTAACGAAATTAATAATTTCAAACGAGCATAAATCAATAAAGTTCTCTCTTTTCTGAGTTACAATCGCTTCAGAAGTGGACTTTGGGATTGCTCATTAGGAAAAGCAATCGAATTCTATCTCAATTACAAATTACAATCAGTTCGTGAATCCGACTCGGGAATCGGTTGCTGCAAATGATTGAAATCATCAAAATCATTATTAAAGACAGATTTCGTCCTTCAATTCAAAAAAAGGAAAAAAAATCAGTGGAATTCTTGCTGATTGCGATCCAATGTACTGAATTTGCTTTGAACATGGTGCATTCATCTCATCTCAAAATAGATCAGCAGCTTAAGGGCCATCATAATTAGTATTTAGTAAGGATATCCCGATTCAAACTTTTTGATGATTTACAAACATAGCACTTAGTTTCGATGCATTTACATATTTAACACGCAAACTTTTCGTCTACAATCTCTGCTTTCGAAATTATGATCGGTTTGGCAAGTGGATTCGGGATTCATGGCTGAAATTTAATATAGTTCTCAAAAAGCGCACACACACACACACACACACACACACACACACCCCCCCGAAGAAACCTAAATTATAAAAAACCTAATTCCCTGTAGATCTAATAAATGGTAAGAAAAATTATTTATGATGCTTATAGTAGAAAAAAAGTGTAAAACAACCTTGAGGCGGATGGGACCTTGAATCCTGGAGCTGGCATGAAGAATCCTTTGTGTAAAGCGAGAGGAAATCGCGAGTCTTCTTCTTACCTAAAACCCATCAAAATCAGAAGCAATGCAAGCGAATTTCAAGGCCAAAACAACAGAATTATCAGCAGAACTATTACAGATTTGCCTCGTGTTCATACCTTGAAGCTCCATCAACATATGCGCACTTCCGTCTCTCTGTTTCAGCTCCAATTCTCTACAATTCGATGGGTTTTGATTGAATTGAAGGGAGATGGAGTGAGATGATGAAAATTTTACTGTGATTTTGAGAGAAGTAAGCTAGGAATTGAGATGTTGATGGGGAAGGGCGCGTGGAAACCCTAGCTCTTGAAGAGAGAAAAGCAAGGGAGGGAAAATGCAGGGAATTTTGGGATTGGAATGGTAATTAACGTTTTGGGGGAAAAAGAAGAGCTTTTATAAATCGTCAGGGGTATAATCGTCAATCATTCTACCACGGTGTTTCTTCTGTTTAGCTGATTTCAATCTGTCTAGATTGCGTCCTTCGTTATTCAAATCATGACTACTGGATAACTTTTTTCAAACAAATCCCAACATCAAATTTCATATATAGAAGGTTAAATATATAATATCTAAAATATATACATACATATATATATATATATATAAAATGTGATACATATTGTATTGTGTCAGAATATTCATGGTGATAGGGTGATAATTTAACATCTCAACTTTGTACGAAAATCCATCACACATATAAATAATAAAAAGCTGGTAGGAGCCAATAAAATTATTTATGTAGAGAATCCTTGGAAAGCGAAAAGATTACGGGATATGACCCAATCTAAGTGATCTAATATATGATTGTAAGTACATGGGTCCACACTTTTCTTAAATTAGGGGAGTTGAAACTATAATACAGATAATTACATATGTACAATAGTCTTCTAACTTTAATAGTTGAATTGGGATATAACAAATGTAGTTGATATATATTGTGACATCCAATAGGGGAGTGCGTTAGGTAAAATTAGTTTTAATATTTCAAAATTCTTGCTTTTTAAATTTGTATAAAAATTAAATTATAAATTCTTCAATATTTTTAATTAAAGAAAATAAAAATAACCAAGGAGTGAAAACAATGTAGAAAGAAAAACGAAAGAGAAGATTTTTATGTGATTCGACCAAAATCAAATCAACCTAAGTACATGCCTAGTCACCTCTGACTAGGAATTTCACTAATCAGATGAAAATTACAACCAATCTCTTATACTCCTACACCGAGCAAGTACAACCCCAAACATTGTGCTCTCCTATATCAGGCAAGCACAATCCAAGATACCGAGCTTTCCTACACCAAGCAAACTCTTCTCTAAATACAATGAAATAGTATAATACAAAAAAAAATCAAAATAGTACAATCGTTTAATCTCTCTCACTCACAGTTTTAAAAAGATTTTCACTCAATCCAAGTTAAAGATAATTAAAAAGTCAAATATAATAAGAGCTCAAGTTGGTATGTGAAGTTTATGTGAGTGCTTTTTTATGAAAAAGCACAATGAAACAAACACACAACAATCTAAAAATTAATATAATCTTTCCAACAAAAAATATTTTAGCAACTTCCACTTTTAAAGTTGGTTAAACAATCATGCAATAGACTCAATTAGGATTTCAAACTCACTTGGAGAGCTATCAAGACACGACTTTACGTAACAAAAAATCTTTTAAATCACTTACTATATTTTGTTGCAAACTCTCCAGCCACCAAGATAAGAATGAAGAAATAATTGAAAGCTTAACTTTCAAAACATATCAAATTAATTCATCCAAGGTATCTCATGTAATCAAGAAAGTTTAATAAAGTAATATAGATCTTACATAAAGCTTTAATGGAGATTGAGGATACAATGATTTGAAGGAATTTCTCCACGAGATCTTTCACTAACTAGAGAAGTTTTGCTTGAGGAAAATTTAAGGTTTATGGCCAAAGGTAGAGGACAAGAGTGTTGCACTTAAAAAAGTAAATGAAAGTACTTAATTTCCGTTAAAAAATAATTCAGTCAAGACAAAAATGTTTTGGAAAAAGATAAGTAAAGGATCAAGTTTTTGGCACCATTGTCGGGATCAAGTTTTTGACACAATTGTCGGAGAGATTGATTGAAAGCAAATTTCTATTTTAGAAAGTCTTATTTAAACTTTAACGGTTATTGTAGGAATATCTTATTATAGTGTGAGTTTTAATTTTATGTTAGTGTATGCGTAGTTCAGGTTCTAAGGGACTAGTGCCCTACGATTCTGAATTAGAAAGAAATATTAGAAAAAAAAAAAAACCAAAAAAAATAAAAAACTTGAAAAATTCAAAAAAATTACAGAAATGACAAACCAAAATATTCAAAATGCTGAAATTCAACAAGAGTTTAGACCTTTAAGTGATTATGTCATCCCTACTGTAAATGAACTTCATTGTAGTATTCAAAAACCTAATGTAGTGGCTAATTCATTTGAGCATAAATCTGTTATTATCCAAATGGTATCAAATAATCAGTTTGGGGAATCACCAATTGAAGATCCAAATTTACATCTTGTCAATTTTCTAGAATTGTGTGCTACATTTAAATATGATGGTGTATCAGATGATGCCATAAGACTTAGGTTATTTCTTTTCTCACCGAGGGATAAAGCTAAGAGGTGTTTGAATTCGTTAGCACCTGGAACTATCAGAACTTGGGGTGATTTAGCACAAAAATTCCTTGCTAAATATTTTCCGCCATAAAAAAGTGCAAAGCTTAGAAAGGATATTACATCTTTTAATCAGTTTGAAGAGGAATCTATTTATGAAGCATGGGAAAAATTTAAAGAACTCTTAAGAAAATGTCCACAACATGCTATACCAGATTGGTTAATAATTTAAACTTTTTATAATGGATTAGCTGGGGAATCCTAAGAAAGTAGCCAATATTCATGAATCTGATGCATTTACTATGTTAGCAAATCTAGTTGCTGCAATTTCAAAGAAGTTAGACCAATTTTGGAATGAATTTTTCTCAACCATTTTCTATGATTGAAGAGAATTCATTAGGTAAAATGGTAGATTCTCAAGCATCATGAAAAACTTTGAATGCCATAAATAACAAGCAGAATAGCCCATATTCAAATTATTATAACGCAGGTTGGAAGAACCATCCCAACTTCAATTGGAATAATACTACGGGTGGTAATAATCACCAATGGGGGAACAATCAAGTAAACTCATTGGGAAACAGGAATAACCAAGGGAATAATAATTATAGACCTACTTATTCTTTAGGTTTCAATAGTAATCCACAATTTAAGGAGAAGAAGTTGTCTATAGAAGAAGTGGTGTTACAAATGGGAAATCAATTACAAAGTCGAGAAGCTACAATTAGGAATATTGAGAATCAACTTGGGCAAATAGCAAATTCATTAAGTAATAGATCCCAAGGAACACTTCCTAGTAATACTGAATCAAATCCAAAAGACCAAAGTAAAGAGCAAGTAAAAGTCATTCAACTTAGAAGCTGAAGAGAGTTGGAAGGTAGGGTTCAATAAGAAATTGAAGTTGAGAGAGAAGAAATTGAAGAATCAAAAGGGGACGCTATAAAATATTCTGAAAGACATATTTCTCCACTAAAAATTGATTTGGAAAAACCACCACCTTCATTTCCTCAAAGACTTCGTCAGCAGAAGTTGGATAAACAATTTTCAAATTTTTTGGAAATATTCAAGAATCTTACAATTAATATTCCATTTGCTGAAGCCTTAGAATAAATGCCAAGCTATGTAAATTTTATGAAGGATATTCTCAACAGAAAAAGGAAGTTTAAGGTAATGAGATTGTTGCACTTAGTGAGGAATACAGTGCTATAATTCAAAAAAAGCTTCCTCAAAAGCTTAAAGATCTTGGTAGCTTTACAATTCCATGTGCAATAGGAGACAGATTTTATGGGAAAGCTTTATGTGATTTAGGTGCAACCATTAACCTGATGCCATTATAAATATTTAAAAGATTGGGATTAGGAGAAATAACCCCTACTACTGTAACTCTGCAGTTAGCAGATTGTTTGATAACGTACCCTAAAGGAGTTATAGAAGATGTCCTAGTGAAAGTGGATCAATTTATCTTTCATTTGATTTTATTGCGCTGGATATGGAGAAAGATAAAGAGATACCTATCATTTTGGGGAGACATTTCCTAGCCACAAGAAGAGCAATGATAGATGTGTAGAAAGATAAAGAGATACCTATCATTTTGGGGAGACCTTTCCTAGCTACAAGAAGAGCAATGATAGATGTGTAGAAAGGGGAATTGATTATGAGTGTCAATGATCAAACTGTTACCTTTAACATTTCAAAATCAATGAAATATCCTGCAAAAGGTAAAGATGATGAATGTTATAGAATGGATGTTATAAGATATCTGAGTAAATTTCATTTCAAAAAATTATGAAGAACAATTTGAAGTAAAAGATTTGGATCACGAGCAGAAGAGGAATTAGACCACTGTGAAGTTCTTTTTAAGGAAGATGAAAACTATGTTCGAGAAAGTTTTGAAATTTTGGACACGGTAGAAAAAGATAAATCATTTTGTCCATCAATTGAAAAACCTCTAGAACTTGAGTTGAAGTTACTTCTCGATCATTAAAAATGTCTTTTTAGGTGATTCATCTACTTTACCAATTATAATTTCCTCAAAGTTAACGATGGAAGAAGAAGAAAGATCGATGAAAATTTGAAAAATTTCAAGAAAGCCTTTGGATGGACAATAACTGATATTAAAGGGATCAGTTCTTCAATTTGTATGCATAGAATTCATATGGAAGAGAACTGCAAACCCATGGTTGATCTTCAGAGGATATTGAATCCTATTATGTTAAGAAAGAAATATTAAAGTGGTTAGATGCTATAATTATCCATCCTATTTTAGATAGTGCATGAGTTTGTCAAATTCACTGTATTCATAAGAAATGAGGAGTAACTGTGACTGTGAATGAACATAATAAATTAATACCTACTAGACAAGTCATATGGTGGTAAATATACTTTGATTATAGAAAATTAAATCTTTCCACTATGAAAGATCATTTCAACTACCCTTTTTAGAATAAATGTTGGATAGACTAGTTGGGCATAAATACTTTTATTTTCTGGATGGATATACTAGTTATCACTAAATACAAATAACTTCTGAGAATCAAGAGAAAACAACTTTTACCAGTCCTTATGGGATATTTGCTTTTACAATAATATCCTTTGGTTTACGTAATGCTCCTACTACATTTCAAAGATGTATGATGACAATTTTTTGTAATTTAATGAAAAAGGGATTGAAGTGTTTACGTATGATTTTTCAGTGTTTGGAACTTCATTTGACTCATGTTTAGAACATTTATCAAAACTTCTTAAGCGC